CCTTGCCAGACTTAGCCATATTAGTATGCTTACTAAAAGCATGTGTGGCTTCATGTTGTGGCTTATTGGGCACACCTATCAACCTACTAGTTGTGATTGATGACATGCCCCCCATGTCATCCTTAGCTACACTATCATGCTTACTACAAGCATGTGTGGCTTGGTTTTGTTGTGGCTTCTTGGGCATGTGTATCTTTCTATTGTTTGTGGTTGATGATATGCCCCCTTGTCGACCCTTCATGGGTGGCATGCTACAAGGGGCCTTGCTTCCTTGTGCACTCTTTGGCACGTTGTCAAAGTTATGAAAATCATAGGTGGCATGGGTAGGCAACGCCCACTTAGACTTGCCACTCACTCCATCCTTCATGTCTGATGACATGCCCCACTGCCCACTGCATGGAGATGGAGATATGCCCCCCATGCCATCCTTAGGAAACAAATATGGTGTTCTGTTGGACACACCATTTTGTTCACCTTTCTTGACATCAACTTGCCCCCCAGCCTGACACTTCACGTTCAACTTGTCAGGTGGTAGGCTTCTATGCCCCTCTTCCTGCACCTTAGGTGGTTTGCATCCATTATACCAATTGAGTAAGGGTGGCAAAGAGGGTGGGCAAGTTTGTGGTAGCACATCCATAGCTTGTGACCCTCCACCAACTCTCATGGTCAAGAATGGTCTAGCCTCCGAGACAGTTTTTAGAGTAACTGTCGGCACAGGCGGTTTCTTTACATGAGTGGTGAACGTGGGAGCGAGATTTTTATTATAACCGCTATGCTGAAGACATAGTTGACTTGTCGCCGGAGGCGGTAAGTTCCCTGACTGTGGCTGGGTAGTCCGGCCACCGGAGAACAGGATACTTGTATACTCAGTAGCAATACTTAGTGGCGGATCTATACCAATTTTTGGTAAAGAAATTTCTCGCACCACTGGTTCTATAAAATCTTTTTTAAGCTTATCCAAGCAATTTGTATTTTCTATAGTTGCTTCAAGCAATTCATCCAAACGTCTATCTAACATAGAACTAAAAGAAGCAAGTTTTAGACTTGTCTGTTGTGAACTTTTAACAAGTCCATTCAAACTCTCTTCCATCAATCGACGGATCTCCACCATCACTTGACGGTTCTCCACCACCATCTTGCAGTTATCATCCACCATTGAGCGGAGTGACATGGCTGTGGTGGTTACATCAACACAAGGCGCCGCCGGTGGCAAGATCTCAATCATGCCATTGTTTCCGACAACACTTACTGATGCTTGGCCAAATTGGAACTTGGCCGCCAACTCCTTCGCAACTCCTGGTGAAATATCACCTTCCTGTTCTCTCAGTCGTGGAGCCATCAAATCAAACACACAGTGTCCCACCAGGTGTGCCAATTTGTTTTCCGGCGAGGAAAATCTGGTGTTTGAACACAATGAATGCACCTTTGACTTCTTGAACAACGATTAATAACACGGTTCACTCCTCTCCGAACAATGTTCGAACGAGGGTGTTTGATGTTTTTGATGGTTTTTTGGGAACAAAACTAAGTTACGTTACTCTACTCCTATGGAGGTTCAGTGAGAGCTCCAGAAACTAAAACTATGGCTAATTTGCAGAGAAAAGGATAAAGTTTGACATTGTGCGTCAAATGTTTGGTTGTGCAACCCTTGCTTCTTCTTCGTTTCTTCTATTTATAGCCACTAGGTGTAACTGACTTGGCAACCGCCTTGGTAACTGCTAGCTGGCCTCTTGCTCCAAACCGCCTCGGGGTCCGCTTGTCGCTGCCTTGGTGACTAGTTGGTAACCGTCGCCTTAGGGGTCTCGTCTCGTCGCCCTGTCATGACTGGATGGGGTTGAGGTTCTTTGCTTAGCCTCCATGATGAAGTCTTGATCGCACCCTCGGCTGCTTGATGACTCCCCACTCTTGTCGTCTTGAGACCGCTACCATCTCATGACACCAATCCTGGGGGCTTGGTCTCCATACTTAGTCTTTGTAGCCTCATCAAGTTGATAAGTTACACCCTGCCGGCTTGGTACCCCGTTAGGGTGCTACCAAGTCGGCCTTGGGACTTTGTCTCCATATGGCCCCATAAGGACCATACATGGTTGTTTGGTACCTAGTCGGGTGGCCACCTCAGCTAGCCACCATGCCTTAGTAGAATTTCTTGTCTTGTTGGCTTGATACCCTGATGTATGGCTATCAAGTCCGTCTTGGCCCCCTGTTGCCTGGCCACCAAGTCAGTCTTACCGGCTTGATACCCCCTTGGGGTCATGGGACCCTGTCGCTTTGCTTGGCTGCAAAGCCTGTCTTGCCGACCCCGTTGGCTTCATACTTAGCCAAATTCATGCTTTTCATGTCTTGGAACCAAGCCATGCCTTGCCGGCTTGGTACCCTCTTGCTATGGCCATGTGATTCCATACTTAACCAATTTTCATGTATTTTAGTATCAAGCATGCCTTTTCGGCTTGATACCCCTTTGGCTCTATACTTAGCCAAATTCAATGTTTTGGTACCAAGCCCTCCTTGTCGGCATGGTACCCTCTTGCCCCCATACTCAACCGATTTTGTCTCAGCACGGATGGTCTCCTATTTGGTACCCGGCTTGGTACCCGGTCGTTTGGCACCCATCGGACTGTGTCATGCTTGACACCCTTGTGGTTGGATCTCCATACTTGGCCAATTTTCACCTCGGCATCATGTTTGACACCCTTAGACGAGACCCCCCTTGGACGAGATCATGCATGACCCCCTTGGACGGTGTCATGCATGACCCCCCTTGTGCTGTGGGTCTCAACACTTAGCCAATTTTCGCCTTCCTTGCACGGTGTCATGCATGACCCCCTTTGGACGAGATCATGCATGACCCCCTTTGTGCCGTGGGTCTCAACACTTAGCCAAATTTTGGCCTTCTTTGCACCACATGGCGAAAGGGTACTCGCGATGACCCCCTTGGACGAGACCCCCTTTGTGCCTGACCCCCTTGGACGGTGTCATGCATGACCCCCTTGGACGGTGTCATGCATGACCCGCCTTGTGCTGTGGGTCTCAACACTTAGCCAAATTTTGTACCAAGGGGTGGAGGCATCGTCCGGCTATGGGGTCACGGAGACGGTCGGCCATCGCCCATCGTATAGAGGAGAAGGGGTTTGGCCACTTAGGCCCAAAAACCCAACCCAACAAGGCCCAGCTATCTCTTTTAATCATTAATGTTGAGCTGGCCTTATAAATCACTACCACTCCTTGAAAATAATCAATGTGGTATTACGTTATTTTTTTAGTGGTAAACACTCATTCATTCGGGATCGGAGGTTAACCGACATTCCTAAGATAAGATAAAAAAATGCATAAAATAAAATCAACGACAATAACTCGGAAAAAATCCCAAGTTACACATGTTTTTAAAAAAAATTCTCAAAATACAAACGTTATGAAAATAATTCCCAATCTACGTTAGTTTGGACCATCACCGCTGTCAACGAAGACAGTGATTGCATCACTGTTGTCGACGAAGACAGTGATTGCATCACCGCTGTCGACGAAGACAGTGATTGCATCACCGCTGTCGACGAAGACAGTGATTGCATCACCGCTGTCGACGAAGACAGTGATTGCATCACTGCAGTACACGGCCGCGGTGAAGGACTGACCTGCGTCGAAACTTTAAACAAACGTAACTTTGTGCTCGGTTATCCGATCGTAGCGAAATTTTTTTTGATTCCGCATAATTTTTCGAGATCTTGCAAGCCACAAATTACCGTAGGCGGTTAGGTCCCGCCTTCGTCTCGAAAATATGTCGTTTGCTACCCCGAACGAGCCTTTTTTCGATTTCGTCAAACTTTGAACGACCATAACTTTGTGCTCCACAATCCGAAAATCATGATTTTTTTTTTATTTCGCATAACTTTTTAAGGACTACAATTTTTATCATAGACATATTTTCGGAATGTACTTGGATTCCTGAAAAGGAAGGTAAAGTTATTCCCAAATTCCCTTATATCCATAAATAATTCATTTTTTGAAAATTCTCTCCTACTAAATATTGTAGTCCTTAAAAATTTATGCGAAATCAAAAAACAATTCACGATTTTCGGATTGTGGAGCACAAAGTTATGGTCGTTCAAAGTTTGACGAAATCGAAAAAGGCTCGTTCGAAGTAGCAAATGACATATTTTCGAGACGAAGGCGGGACCAAACCGCCTACGGAAATTTGCGGCTTGCAAGATCTCGAAAAATTATGCGGAATCAAAAAAAAATTCTCTACGATCGGATAACCGAGCACAAAGTTACGTTTGTTTAAAGTTTCGACGCAGGTAAGGCCTTCACCGCGGCCGTGTACTGCAGTGATGCAATCACTGTCTTCGTCGACAGCGGTGATGCAATCACTGTCTTCGTCGACAGCGGTGATGCAATCACTGTCTTCGTCGACAACAGTGATGCAATCACTGTCTTCGTCGACAGCGATGATGGCCCAAACTAACGTAGATTGGGAATTATTTTCATAACTTGTGTATTTTGAGAATTTTTTTTAAAAACATGTGTAACTTGGGATTTTTTCCCAATAACTCGAGGTGGTGGGTGGGTAGTGGAAAGCTCATTGGCGTTTTTTACCTTTGTACATTTAAAACGCAAAATATTGGCATTACCTCCGATTGAGACAACCGATCTGGGTTTTGCCGACGCAGCTCGGGCCGCTGCACTCATCACGCATTTCCACAAAAACCCAGCAACCGCCTCCGTCCGGCTCGGGTCGGGTATCTCCACGCTCTTCGCTTTGGCTTTCAGCGCGTGAACCACTTCTTCATCGAATGTGAGTCTCCTCGTTCGGATCTTCCCTCCTTGTTGGGCCACAAAATCCCCTGCGGAGGTTGCGGGGACATCGTCGTGCCGCAGCGGCAGGAGTGACGTGGCAGCGCGATTGTGAGCGTACGCGCTGCCGCCTACTGCCGCCGCCGCCGTTTTCTCCTGGCTCCTGGCGACGGCGGACCAGAGCTTCATGAAATCGGCCAGAGTGGGGCCGTCTACGATCTTGTGCAGCGAGCAAATACCGATTGCGAGGCCGCCGCAGGGGAAAGCGGTGGCCCTGAAGGCGATCTGCGGCACCGATTCGAGGTCCGAGATCCATTCGGCGGGGAAAGGGAGGAACTGCTGGAGCGAATCCTGAGAAAATCAGCCAGGGACGAATCGTTGATGTCGCCGTCGACCGCGGCGGTAGAGAACGGCACGCCCTCATCGTTGCAATGGACGACGGATTTGGACAACCTGCCGGCGAGTGGGTAGAAGCGCGTGAGGGTCTGGGCGAGTGAGGACTTGAGGGTGTCGAAATTTCTCTCCCCCTGCGGGTTTTGATCCCGTGGATCCGGGAGCAGGAAGGAAAAAGAAGATGAGAGGTACATAAATTGGCGGGACTATGTTGTCGATGAGGGAGAGCTTGAATGTGGCGAGTTCGGCGGGAGTTGGGGAAGACGGTTTGATGGTTTCCGCGGAGGTTAGGTTGATTTTGTGATGATGATAATGGTGATTACTGGAGGTCAGTGATGGTGGTGGTGGTGATAATTGTGTTCTGTGGAGGGACCAAATCGAAGATGATGCAGCTGCAGGCTTCTTCCTCAGAACAACACGAACCAGTATTGGAAACATGGTTGATGGAATGGTTGTAAGGTAATTCATGACTCCATGTAAATGGTGGCTCATCCCTTTCTGTAAAAAAAATAGTGGCACTTGCTGATTGAGGTCCCAACTATGCTGCTGCTGCTGTCTATTCTTAGTGTAGGACAGACATCAAGCAGCAACCAATAATTGTGGCCTGGAGTGAATAATACTGCATTTGCATGTGCATTGTGGAAGAACATTTATGTCCCTCACATTTCTCTTCTCTCTCATTCATCGATTTGGGTTATCAATTTCTCTTCTCCCAGTCTCTCTCATTTACTAGAAGGACAACTATCAGAATTGTAGCCACTCAAATCTTTCCATCAGTTTTTTTTTTTTTTTTTTTGCATTGAAGGAGGCAAGCTGCCAAAGCAAGTAGAAATACAGAGGAAGCAGGATTAAGGAAACATGGGGGGAGGAGTATCGATAATGTTCCTGGGGAAAGTCACTCCACTGCTATCTTCCTCAAGTAAGGTAATCAAATCATTGGGTGGCGCCTCTAGTTCGTACAAACCGTAGGGATAGACGAGACTGTGCTTCGAGAGCCAGTCCGCGACTCTATTCCCTTCCCGGTAAGTATGAACTAAATTCACTACCCAATTCTGAGAGATCAGTCGTCTAATTGCCGATAGCAAAGTCGCATAAGGATGAAGGGGGTCTGACGTGTTGTTGATGAGCTGGATCGCAATCTGTGAATCAGATTCCAACACGATCACCCTGTAGCCAAGCTTCCATGCCAACTTAAGCCCATGATAGATCGCCCAAACTTCTGCCATTGTAGCTGGACATGATCCGAGGTGGGAGACAAAACCAGCAAGCCAGCTCCTGTTCTCGTCCCGGAGCGCACCGTCGGCCCCTGCAAGTCCCTGAGCTTCATTAACGGCTCCATCAACATTGATTTTAGTCCATCCTGGTGGAGGAGGGAGCCATCCAATCTTTGCACGCGTGCGGGTGGGTGGGCTCTGGCGCTTGCCTATGATGTCCACCGGGGCCTTCCATGCATTGTACCACAACTCCGCCTTCACTCTGATCGCCTGGATGAGCGATGCTGGAAAGAGTGTCTTCTGGCCTCCACTAAAAACGCCATCATTCCTGTTCTTCCACAGGCTTCAGAGGGCAATGCTGAAGAACGCCTTCCAGGGTACGCCGGTCGGGGAGGTATCGTCTTTTTCCAGATTCCTTCTTAGCCACTGGCCGGTGGGTAGGCTAAAAAACTCCTGTTGCTGATCTGTCGGAACAGTGCGTGCCCATAAGAAGGCTGCTGGCGGGCATTCTCGAAGGATATGCGAGACTGTCTCTAGCTGCGAGGAACACCTGTAGCAGCAAGGTTCTTCAGTAATGTGCCTTGCACCTCAGTAAGGTTCTTCAGTTATTCACTTATTTGTTACTGAGTTTGACTCTCCATAATGCACTTGTATGTATCATACTTACTCTGCATCAATATAATTCAGCTACAGAACCGTAGTGTGTTTATCGGGAAAACAGACCGGGTAAAGCCACCAACTAGGAGTAGGAGACATGAAAAGAAGGGGAATTGATAAAGGTCGTCCTTAAAATTACTATTGATCGTCCTAAAAAATAACAAAGTTACACTTTTAATCTTTTGGCATTTTTAGCAAACAAACATCACTTTAACTAAAAAAAATGAAAAACACTCAATTTCCCACACTCTCGAATTCATCGTTGACATTCTCGAGTCGTAATCGTTGAGAATACGTCCGAATCATGAGTATCGACTCCGACGATGTAAAAATCTGTTTTTTTTTTCAAAAAAAATTCCAAAACCCCTCAACCGAAGCAAATTTTCGGTTGTACCATGGCTCAACCTAAGGCAATTTTCGGTTGTACCATGGACCAACCGAATGGACCAACCGAAAATTGGCTTCGGTTGAGCCATGGTGCAACCGAAGGTGATTTTCGGTTGGTCCATGGTACAACCGAAAATTGCCTTAGGTTGAGCCATGGTACAACCGAAAATTGGCTTCGGTTGAGGGGTTTTGGGTTTTTTTGGATTTGTTTGGTTTATATCAATAATTTTCTATTCTTTTACTACGATTTATGATTCGGTCCATAAGATAATTTGTTGAATTTTGGTTTATATATTTTTTTAGATTTATGAAAGGGGAGGAGTTGTATGTTTTGTGTTTGATTTTGAAATTCAAAATGGGCAATTTGATAAATTACATATTAATTTAGGACGATGGTTAGTAATTTTTAGGACGACCTTTAACCATTCATAAAAGAAGGGAATGATTGAGCTTTCCTTCCGTAAAGAAATTTTATTTTTGTGCAGATAATGTTGGAATTCTAAAGTTGCCAATCCAGACAACAAACCTTCCTTTGTTCGAATAAATATGCCATGGCAGGAGGGACACAAATTGCTCGCAGTCATCACTGTGTGCTTCCATTTCTGAAGCGAACCAAACTACCGACCCTCAAATATTACTTGTGCTGGGTTCGAACAGAAACATGAACCTTTAGGAAAAGGAGAGAGTAATGCAAATTCTATCTCCTCTATCTCATTTTCTCAAGTTGGAGTTAGGCTAATTAAACCAATGTCAACATTCCAAAAACAGAGGATCATTGTTGAATGAAACATTTGGACAAACATACCTACCATCAAGGCTCCAGTGACCAGTCCATATATGAGTGGAATTTTGCTATCATCCACCGGCAGTGACGGACCCGAATAAATATTTAAATAAAAAATATATAAAAATAAAATATCTGACTATTGCAAGTTATAACAAAGATCCAAGACGTGGTTTTATAGTCTTAAGAAAATGGTAAAATACATTCACTATCTTCTACATTATTCAACAAATCTCTTTCAATATATCCTACGAGAGAATTATTCACATACTAATCGCCTATTCTATTCTAAAACTTAATTTTTATGTAACCCAAAGTTGACAAAATACTCTCAACACTTAGAGTTGCAACCGGTAAAATCAATAAAACTTTGAAGAGCAAATAGGCTCATGGATATGATGGATTCGGTAATAGTTGTCTTCACCATCAACTGAGCTAATTAATCAATTTCTTTTAATCAACGTAATAACTCATAATTCTTAACATAATGATAATAATTCTTAGGGACCACCTGGGTCCGCCACTGTCCACCGGTTACTATTTGGAGGATGGTTATGTAAGAACTTTTCAAGTTGTACGATTGAAGCCCCAATTTTCTAGAATTAATATATTTGTCTGTCCCAAACTTTTCCCATGTTTAAGATCCTGGCCGATCCTTATGGTATTTAATACGTCACTCCTAGTCAGAGGAAGTGTTGAGACGGGAGTTTTAATTTAATTGAAAAAATATGTTATTTATGCTGACTGGGCAATTACTATTTAGAACTTTTGATTTTCAATTTTTTCCAATTAAGTTAATAATTGGAAAAAAACTCCCTCCTCAAGGATTCCTTTGATCGGTTTCTTAATTTTCTCCCAATTTTTGTTTTAATTTTTAATTTAATTATAATAATTTTTAGAGATTATGTGGAATTTTGGAAAATTTTAAGTTAATTTATGCTAACTGGACAATGACGTAGCGGGTTGACCGTTAGTCAACGATCTTGATTCAATGGTTCATCAACACGTCGAGGACGAAATTTTTATAAGTGAAGAGAAAATGTAACATCTCGACTTTTAGGTTAGGGTTCAAACTGAAGTTAATACGTGGTTTGATTCAATGGTTAGTGATTTCAAACCAAACCAAACTCCAAGCGAGACATTGCTGGGTCAAGTGGTTAACTCTAATGTTTTACCACCACAATAGTGAGTCGGTTAATTGAAGATATTTAGAGGCCCATTAAATCGAAGAATTGGAGCCATTAAGCTCTCAATTGGGAGTCTTTACAGTAGCGGATTCCGTTACTTTCATAAGGCTGTCCGTTGGGATTATTTGAGAGGAGCTAGGGATTAGTGGCGTTTATAAATGGGATTGGGATCTAAGCCGGCGTAGAAAAGGGACAAGAGAGAGAGTGTCATTCCAAGTTGTGCGTGCCGGTCAAAGGCGCTACGAGAGCTTGGGAAGTAGTTGCCGACAACGATGAGGAAGGACGGTTGGGCATCGACGTGTTGGTGAACCACGGTGGAAGACTCAATCAATGGATTGCTGACGTAAGGACCGAATCCCTAGAAGCCTTGATCGATAATAATGATGATGCTTTGATTAACTAACACGACCTGTAACTTGGAGGTTTAACCAACGCAAGGAACTTTGGGAAAGTTGGATTGGTTAACCTTGGTAAAGTGTGGGGTTATTAGCGGTGATGATATCTGAATGAATTCGCGTGGGTGGATGGAATTGTATATATTGTCAGAAACTGGTAGGAAAGAATCGTATATATTTTCAGTAACCAACCAAAAAGAATGAACCAACCATTGTAATCGTCAATTCTTTAATGGTTCATTTGCAAATGCATGGATGAGGAGCAGACGTTGCCACTTCGCCAGTGACGAAATGGAATGGCTATCGCCAGTGCACTACCACCATCATTTGCTTCTTTTCCTCTTGCCACACCTTCAACGTATTCTTCACTCCAGAATCCATTTTTCAACAAATAACACTCTAAGATTGTCAAGAACTGGTAGGAAAGAATCGATTGAAGGCGTGATTAGATCACTCTCCTTAGAGTGTTAGGCTCGAGCAAACTTTGCAGACTTCTGTGTTTATGAAATAGAGAAGGAAAACGAGAAGAAGAAGAAGTAATCTCACATATGAAAAGAGTAATGGCAGTCATCTATTTGTACTTGTGAAAACTGGAAGTTACCTTCCGAAGAGACACAACCTTTCACAGAAAAATGTAGTTACCTTTCCCGAAAGGACACATCCTTTCACAGAAAAGGGAAGTTACCTTTCTAGAAGGACACTTCTTTTCACAATATTCAAACGTTAATTAATTAATATAAAATTAAATAATTAATTAACTGCCAATAGACTCAATTCTTATACTTTCCTTCTTCCATTAATGTGGTATTACAACTCTATTGACTAACTCTAACAATCCCCCACTTAGTCAACAAGAGTTGAGAATACCTGCCTCGAACAAGTAACACATACATAAAAGTATCTTCTCGATTTGAACCTTTACCTAGTGTAAGAAACTCAAAGTTGATAACGAATCAGTGACGGGCTTAAGCATAGGAGTCACGATCCAAAGCTATAACTGGAGATGCCACACACGTACTTGTCTCTTCTCTAAACCACAACCACTAACAAGGGTAGCACTATTATGGCCATGTGTTGATCCTGTTTCACGAGCATTCACAAAGTTGACCTCTATTTTTGTCAGAGCGGCACCACTCTTAATGCTCGCATAGGTGACATTCCAAATGAATTCATTAAGAGTTCTATAACTCATCTCAAGAGTTATATAACTCACCCCTCTTTGGACTAATTTACTTGTACAATAAAATTAGTAACTTAGTTAGAGTAACTTGTTATTACCACATTGAACCTTTTAATTAGTGAATACCTAAAGAACATGTTGGGTTCCCATTACTTCTAGCTACACAAAAGGTCTCAATCCCATCCATTGGGATGTCACATAGATCATGCCTCTTGGCAATCTCTTCGGAAGAGGATCTGCCAAATTATTGCATGATCTAACATACACAATAGAAATGATTCCATTAGAAATCAAATATCCAACGTAATCATGTCTTAGGCTAATTTGTCTAGACTTACCATTGTAAATCTTGTTATAAGCTCTAGACAAAGTAGCCTTACTATCACAAAAGACAGAAATGGCTGGCATTGGTTGTGGCCACAACTTTATATCTAACAACATGTTTCTTAGTCATTCTGCCTTTTTTCCAGCCGCTACAAGGGCTAGGAATTCAGCTTCCATAGTGAAGTATGTAATACACATTTGTTTCTACGAATCCCAAGAAACAACTTCATCACCTAGTGTAAAAATACACCTGGTGTAGATTTTTTATCACTAGGATTTGTTATCCAACTAGCATGAAGAACATCTCCCCCACAATTCTACCACTTGCCAAACTATCATGGAACAATTCCATTTCATTTTCCATGGTTCTACTTATTGAACTTTCAACCGCTACATTGATCTAATTGTTTACCAATGGTATGGACTAATTAAGTTAGCATATAACAAACAATTCAGATATTATTAGAAATATCATCTAATTACATACCAACGGAATTGGTCAAGGTAACTTGAGATGCCACAAGTAATTCAATTGCATTTCTAGATGGTATTGAAAATATCATCTAATTACTTACCAATGACATTTCATGAAGGTAACTTGACATACCACAAGTAATTCAAATGAATTTTCTAAGTCAATCATCTAATTACTTTTAAATTAAAAAATACTTTATAAATATATCATAAGTAATTTAGACTTTAAGTTCAATAAGAACATCTCAATTGAGCTCTCATGCCTAATTGTTTTCCAATGAAATATGTCTATATATACCATAAACAATTCTGACAAATAGCTTCACCTAATAATCATTAGTCAAATTGTTTTCCAATGGCATAGTGTACATATATCATAAAAAAATTCTAACGATGATTATTTTGATGATCACCATCATTTGGCAAGCTTATTCAATCCCTATAAGGATCCATCTTAGTTTCATTTTCCTTTCTCTCATGGCCTAAGAAACATGAAGTTTAAACCACATACATGATAAACAAATTAATTATCATGTCGAGGGAACGCTTTTAAACATTATTTCAATTACTTCAAGATCACAACTCAAACAATTTTGTTACATAAACCAAATTTTTGATTGATGTTCCCTATAAATGGTCGATGTTCTACTCTAATAAAGCAAGTAAAAGATAAACAAAGCAAGATGAAAAGGGGGTCGTGCGACACTGTGAGTTTCTTAGGTCCGTAGACAGTGATCAAGATTCCTTATGGCATGAGGTTTTTGCAATGTCCAAGACAACAATGCGGATGAGTTCACCATATCAAATACAGATAGACGGTCAAATGAGGTGATTAATTGGCACTTGGAGAAGCATTTTTGCTCCTCGCGCATCCATAGGCGCAGAGTTGGTTGTCCATGATTTCATGAGTCGAGCTATGGTATAACACCGTCTATCATTGGGCTACCAAGATGACACCGTCCGAGGCTCTATACTGCTGACCGCCTCTTTCCTTAGTGCGTTAACAAAGCAGTAGACAAGTGGTTGAGCGCTCGGGATAAAGCCCTAGTGCAATTGAAGGCTAATCTGGAGGCTGCCAATAACTGGATGAAGCATATGGCAGACTCGAGCATGAGAGAGGCAGAGTTTGAGGTAGGGGATTGGGTGTTGCTTACTGCATCCATACAGGCAGGCTTTGGTTTTCAAGAGATCCTACAAGAAGCATGTGGCACGGTTCTTTGGAACCTATGAAGTGCTGCAAAAGGTGATTCCATTAGCTTACAGGCTGCAGTTACATGCAGATGCTCCCATTCACCCGATGTTCCATGTGTCCCTACTGAAGAGGTACAGAGGGTCCCTTGATCGAGTGGAGACTACAACACCACCTGTCACTGCAGATGGGGATCTTGAACTGACACCTTTAAAGGTGTTAGAGATGAGGTGGACCCAGAAGGGCGGACCACTAGTGGAGGAGAGCTTAGTCATGTGGAAGCATGTCGAGCCGGAGGACACAACCTGGGAGGAGACTTCGGCATTGCCGCAGTCAATGTAGTCAAAAGCGAGTTTCTACGTAGAAACGTTTTGGTGATCTAGAAGCGTAAAATCATAAGTTTTTAAGTTTTAAAACGGGTTGGGTGAGTAGGGCGGGTATGGCCGACTGGGCTGGGATAGTAGTGGCATTGTTTTTAATTCCGTATTATTTCTGGAACTCCTACTTAACGGTTCAAAATAGTATTTTTCAGATTAAGTAATGAGAAATATTAAACTTCCAAATCCCTAATTCCCTTCTCTCCCTCGTTCTTCCCCATTTCTTCCGAATCTCTAATTTCTTCCTTCTCAATTCCTAAATCCCCATGTGGGAATTCTGGTGTCTATCATAACGAAGGACGAGTTGCCACACATGTGAGATCGCAGTAAGAGCTAAGGTTTCCTCACTTGAGCATAGGCACACTATCTCGTCTGAATTAAAGTCCGGGACGAGGGGATGTGTTTAAAGGGAGGATGGAAAGTAGTAGATGAAGGTTGGACGAAGTGAAGCTATCATAATCTCTCCAAACACATTCTCAAATGGCACTCCAACCAAAAGAGAAGGCCTTTTACAGCTTAACTTAAACACTATAACCGGTTGCCTCTGACGTGAAACCTCAATTTAAAAGCACATTTAGAACAATCTTTTCCATTCAAAACATTTCCAGTCCACAAAATGGAGAAAGTCATCATCATTACACAAATCTCATGGCCTGACACAATCAATCACCACATTAACCAAAACAATTTGAGATGGAGGGAGTATCAATCATGAACCAACAAAACCTCCATATGTTGCAAGCTACCATGACATTTAAGGATTCAGGGCACATTAAGCAAGCATAGCAATGGACAAGTGGCTTGGAACCCCCCCCCCCCCCCCATTTTTGAAAATTTGGACATTAATATACTAGGTTTCAAGCACTCAGTGTAGGTCATATAACATTCATCAACACATGTTCTAGGAACCTCAAATTTCGGGAATTTGGCAAAGATAAAGGCTCCCCATCATTCAAAAAAATTTAATTCATTCATACATTCATTCTCAAACACAAGCCATTCACAAGAATACATTCAACCCCCCCCCCCCCCCCCCCCTCCCCATCCACACACACACACTTAAACTCGATATTGTCCTTAATAGAGAAAGGATATAAGAGTAGAACGAAGTTACCAATATGATGAGTGTTGAGAAGGAGGAGAGTTTTCCCTATCGATGATCGGGACTGGATTTGACCAATTTATGTGGGAGAAGAGCAAGGAGAGACAAACACACATCCATATGGGGTCATTATTACACAAGCACACATGCGATTATTAAAAGTTCACACTCAAATATTGTTCAACCCATTATCCAAAACACGAAATAGTTGGCCACAACGCACCATTTCCCAGGCAATTAATGAGTTCCTCTTCTGGAAAAACTACCCTAAGAAAAGAAGAGAGGAAACTGGATTGCCTTGTCGGCCCACTCCACCTCCTTCCCACCCCACATCACCGCCAAGTAATCACCGCGAGGAGATTCACTGTGATGGATCGTATTTTGACGATTTCCGGGAGGTGGCGTATGGGTTTGTTGTTCTGAATACCCATGGTGAGGTTTGCGAAGGAAAGGTCGATTCCCTGTTCTGCGAATCAGCTTTGGAAGCTGAAGCGGTAGCTATTCTTGAAGGATGTAAGTTTGCCCAATCCCTCTCCCCGTCATGCATTATCAAGTCTGACTGCAAGGTGTTGGTTGATGCGATTGCGGGGCCAAGACACAAGTGGCCTTGGATTGTTGCAGCACGTATTGACGCTATTCTTGACATTCTTCGGAGCCTCCATGATGTGAAGGTGTCGTTTGTTAAGAGAGATCATAATGTACTGGCAAACTGGGTTGCCCGATCCCGAGCAAAGAACCAGCTCCCGGGAGACTGGATTACAGTCCTTAATGTGCTGCTACCAATCCTGTAACCTTATTTGATTTATGGGATTGCAGAGACTTACTGTCAAAAAAAAAAAATATATATATATATATATATATATATATATATATATATATATATATATGATGCTCAATAACCATAATGTCAGATCATCAGCGCCACATTTGCAAGAAATTTTAAATTTCAAATTAAAACAAAGATAAGAGACAATCAATAATATTATAAAAAATAAAAAGTTACTAATTCTCAAAACATCTAGACCCTGTAGACCCCACTCTAAATTAAGGATACAGATTTAGTTATTCACCCTAACTTGAGCCAACTTTTAGAGAAATGCCGGTTATTGGTCAATGGTAGATGGTGACTTTTACTTTTTAGGATTAATAGCATTTTATGCCCCTGTACTATTGCGTTTTAACAAGCGTGCCCCTGTACTATGATTTTGCACAAACGTGCCCTGTACTATTACGACATAACAAAAATGCCCTTCTGTCGAAAAATCTGTTTTCTCTCCGTTAACTGGGACTGTAAATTACCCAAATACCCCTATGACTAATATTAAAATTGTACTTTAAATTTTTTTTATTCAATGGAGGCGGCAGCCAAAGAAAAAGAAAGATACAGGGGGGAAGGGATTACATGAGGGGATTGAGAGTTGTAACAATAATGCTCCTATTGAAGCACACACCCATATTGTCTTCTTGGATAATTCTAGCTAGTTCTGATGGCGGGTTAGTCAGTTCATACATACCGTAGGAATAAACGAGACTGTGCTTCGAGAGCCAGTCTACGACTCTATTTCGTTCATGATAAGTGTGAACTATCCTAACAAGCCAATCCTGAGAAATTCTTCGTCGAATAGCATTCAAGAGGGAGGAGTAGGGGTGAATAGGGTCCTTACGGTTCATAATAAGATCAATAGCCAATTGAGAGTTTGTTTCGATCATTAGATATGTGTAGCCATGTTTCCAAGCAAGCTCCATTCCTTGATTGATGGCCCAAAGCTCAGCCTTTGCTGCCGTACACGATCCAATTTTGTAGACAAAACCACTTTAACAACAACCTTGATCATCACGTAGTAAACCTCCAGCCCCCGCAGGTCCTGGATTCCCATTCGACGCTCCATCAACGTTTAGCTTCATCCAACCCCTTGGCGTGGCCTCCCATCCTATTGCCTTTGTCACTCGTTCTACTGGAGACTTGCTGCAGTTGATGCCAATAGGTGGAGACAACCATGCTTGAAACCACGGTTTTGCCTTGATATTTATATAGGGATGTTCAAATGGTTATAATGGTAATTACCAAACCAAATTAGCATAAAATCTATTAACCATGGAATACAATATCATAACCAAACCGTCCAAACTAATACAACAACCAAATTAACCAAACTAAAGTTTAATCGGTTTGGTTAATTGGTTAACCAATATACCACCACATTATCATTAAGTGAGAAAATTTTCCGGTTAGTGCATCAATTTGCAATTTATATAATGAATGAATAACACATAACAATAAACAAATAATTATAGTTAACCCTTAACGTAAATACATGTAACTAATACAATTATATTGCATTTGATTCTTAAGTGGTTATGCAAAGTATTAAGTATGTGTGTATAATATATTATATAGGGGTGGCAATTGGATCAGATTCGTGGATTGGATTGGTGGATCCATGGATCAAATGGATTGGATCCAATGGATTGGTGGATTCATGGATTGGATCAAATGGATTGGTGGATTGATCCATGAATCCAAATGACATTCAAGGCTTGGACCAAAATGTAAATTTTGAAAAGATTAAGTACTAAAATGTCATAATGAAAAATTTTAGGTACCAAAATGTAATTTTCCAATGATTTTTTTCGTATAAAAATATAAATTTTAGGTACCAAAATATAAAATATAAAAAATATCGGTACCAAATCGTAATTTGCCATTTGGATCTATGGATTGATCCATGAATCCACCAATCCAATTGGATTTGGATCAAATGGATTGGATTTAAATGGATTGGATTAAGTGGATAATTTGGTGGATGGATTGGATTGGATCCTAATTGCCACCTCCAAGGAGGTAGTGATGCGGGTGGAGGATGAGATTGGTTTAAACAGCATGTCGCCCTCCAAGAAGGGGCCACTCTCCAATGCGGCCAACTGCTCCGCCAGCTGCGGCTCCTGCGATGCCTGCTCACCTAGCAAAATACAACGCTCAAGAGCATCATCAGTACCCGCATTCGTGATGGCGAGTGCGGTCTCAAAATCGGTAAGCACATCACAGTAATCTATGTCATCATGCAGGTGAGAATGTTTCCCATTGTCAGACACAGAAAAAGTAGCCTGCATGATGTGCTTACCGATTTTGAGACCGCACTCGCCATCACGAATGCGGGTACTGATGATGCTCTTGAGCGTTGTATTTTGCTAGGTGAGCAGGCATCGCAGGAGCCGCAGCTGGCGGAGCAGTTGGCCGCATTGGAGAGTGGCCCCTTCTTGGAGGGCGACATGCTGTTTAAACCAATCTCATCCTCCACCCGCATCACTACCTCCTTGGAGGAACCACCAAAGCTGAAGCTTAAGCCCCTCCCTCCTCATTTGGAGTATGCATTTCTCCGGGAGGGGAATAAGCTACCAGTCATCATCAGCTCGACCCTCACACCCAAGAAGAAAACCAGACTGGTGGCCTTGCTGAAGCAGTACGATCGAGCTTTAGCATGGAAGATCACATATATCCGGGGGATCAGCCCCTCCTTTTGCTCCCACCGGATACTGCTGGAGGATGAGATGCGGCCAGTGAGGCAGCCGCAGAGGAGATTGACACCGAACCTGGAGGCTGTGGTTCGGGCAGAGATCGTGAAGCTGATGGACGCGGGGATCATCTTCGCCATTTCTGACAGCGAGTGGGTCAGTCCCACCCAGGTGGTGCCCAAAAAGGGTGGGATGACCGTGGTGCCTAACGAGAAGAACGAGCTCATCCCGATGCGCACGGTGACTGGGTACCGTGTTTGCATCGACTATCGGCGTCTCAACGACGCCACTCGGAAGGACCATTTCCCGCTGTCGTTCATTGATCAGATGCTGGAGAGATTGGCGGGGCACGAGTTCTACTGTTTCTTGGATGGGATGTCCGGGTACTTTCAGATCCCTATTGCACCGGAGGACCAGGCGAAGACCACTTTCACCTGCCCCTTCGGCACATTTGCCTACCGGAGGATTCCATTCAGGCTATGCAATGCCCCAGCCTCTTTTCAGCGATGCATGCTCGCCATCTTTGACCGTCTGGTCGGCGAGATTATGGAGGTGTTTATGGACGATTTCTCGGTTTAGGGAGACTCATTCTCTCACTTTCTCCATAACCTAGAACTTGTTCTTAAACGGTGTGAAGAAACGAACCTGGCACTGAGTTGGGAGAAGTGTCACTTCATGGTTCGAGAAGGCATAGTTCTTGGGCATAAGATCTCCAAGATGGGGATTGAGGTGGACAGAGCAAAGATCGAGACTATCAGCAAGCTGCCTCCTCCTACATCGGTTAAGGGGATCCGGAGTTTTCTTGGCCACGCAGGGTTCTACAGGCGGTTCATCAAGGATTTCTCGAAGATCGCCCTGCCCCTGACTAAGCTTCTAGAGAAGGATGCCCCCTTCCAGGTCACTGATGCTTGCACAGCGGCATTCACAACCTTGAAGGAGAAGCTCACCCAGGCTCCTATCATGGTTGTTCCTGACTGGTCCCTACCATTTGAGCTGATGTGCGATGCCAGTGACTTTGCTGTTGGAGCTGTTTTGGGGCAGAGGCGAGATCAACACTTCCGACCTATCTACTACGCCTCGAAGACCCTCAATGATGCCCAGGAGAACTACACCACCACAGAGAAGGAGCTGCTCGCAGTGGTGTTTGCCTTCGATAAGTTTCGCCCCTATCTGGTCTTGTCCCATGTGACCGTGTACACAGATCACTCCGCGATTCGATACCTGATGAGCAAGGCCGATGCCAAGCCTAGGCTCATACGATGGATCTTATTACTACAGGATTTTGATATTGAGATTCGGGACAAGAAGGGAGCAGAAAATGTTGCAGCTGATCACCTCTCCCGGTTGGACGCACCTCCCGCGGACAATCTCGTGGAGGAGATCAACGACTCCTTCCCAGATGAGAGACTGATGATGATGTGCTTGGTGGAGAGGGTCACCCCCTGGTATTCTGATTTTGCGAACTATTTGGTGGGCCAGCAGCTTCCCAAGGGGATGACAACTCACCCCAAGAGGAAGTTTTTCTCCGATCTGAAGCACTACTTCTGGGATGACCCCCATCTTTTTCGGATCGGAGCCGACGGGATCATCCGTCGTTGTGTTATGGAGAGTGAGATGGAGGGCATTCTATCTCACTGTCATGAGGGACCTACTGGCGGTCACCACGGAGGAAACCGCACGGCGAGGAAGGTGCTTTAGTCGGGCTTTTACTGGCCCACGCTCTTCAAGGATGCAGACGCCTTCGCACGCAGGTGCGACCGATGCCAGAGGTCAGGTAACATCTTTGCCCGTGATGAGATGCCCCAGAATGTGTTTATAACTTGTGAAATTTTTTATGTCTGGAGTATCGACTTCATGGGCCCCTTCCCTCCATCTTTTGGCAATACTTATATTCTGGTTGCTGTTGACTACTTCTCTAGGTGGGCTGAGGCGCAAGCTTTGCCCACTAATGATGTGTCTCGCTATGGTGTGACTCACAAGGTGTCCATGGCCTATCATCCCCAGACTAGTGGCCAGGCTGAGCTGACGAACCGGGAGCTCAAGCGGATCCTGGAGAAGACGGTGGATCAGTCTCGCAAGGATTGGTCCACCAAGCTCGATGATGCTCTCTGGGCGTATCGCACTGCCTACAAGACACCCATTGGTACTTCACCGTACCGGCTTGTCTATGGAAAGGCATGCCATCTGCCCGTGGAGCTAGAGCACAAGGCCTTCTAGGCCCTTAAGCTGCTAAATCTGGATGTTAGTGTTGCAGGTGTTGAGCGAAAAATGCAGATGTTGGACCTGAAAAGTGGCGCTACCACGCCTATGAGAACACCAGGCTGTACAAGGAGCGCACTAAGCGCCTGCACGATGCCCGGTTGCGGGGTCCAACAGAGTTCCAGGTTGGTGATCGAGTTCTCCTCTATAACTCTCGCCTGAAGCTCTTTCCCGGAAAGCTCCGTTACCGGTGGTCTGGACCGTTCACGGTCACACAGGTGTTCCCGTATGGCACAATTGAAATTGGCAACCCGCAAACTGAGCCGTTTAAAGTGAATGACCATCGTCCACGATGCCCGGTTGCGGGGTCCGTAAGAGTTCCAGGTTGGTGATCGAGTTCTCCTCTATAACTCTCGCCTGAAGCTCTTTCCCGGAAAGCTCTATTCCTGGTGGTCTGGACCGTTCACGGTCACACAGGTGTTCCCGTATGGCACAATTGAAATTGCCAACCCGTAAACTAAGCCGTTTAAAGTGAATGGCCATCGTCTCAAGCTCTACCTGGGAGATGAGGTCGAACGTGCGGAGTTGGTAGTGGAACTCGCGGACCCTTAGTTCTGCCATGGGCGTCCAGCTAAAATACGGTAAAGAAGCGCATGTGGGGAGGCAACCCCACCACGGTTTGCATTTCTACCCTTTGTTTTTATTTATTTATTTTATTTTTTGTCGGTTTTTGAGTCATAGAGTCTGTCTGGAAAGTTTTTCGTGCCTCGGGCGGTGCTTTTTAATGTGTGATTGGGTAAATTTTAGAGACGGGGCACGAATGAGTCTTGGTGGTTTGAAATTGGAATTTGGAAAAAAGGCAAATTGGGCTCGGCAGTGAAAATAGGGGCAGCAGGGGGTCAAAACACGGCCGTGTTTTCCCCCTTGCCAGCCCGTGTTTTGAGTTTCGATCTGCATGGCTCGCGGCAGTAAAAACACGGGCGCTGGGCTTCCAAAACACGGCCGTGTTTTGGTCCCAGCCCGCCCGTGTTTTAATATGGGGGGAGCACGGCCTCGGCTGTAAAAGCAAGGGCGCGCCACGGGCAGAACACGGCCGTGTTCTGGCCGCCCGTGTTTTTACTCCCCCCTATAAAAACCGAATTTCAGCCCCGTCTCTCCATCCATTTCATTTTTTGCAAAACCCTAGCCGCCCCCCTCGCCGGAGAATAGCTCCTTTCCTCTTCTCCTTTGATTTTCCGGCCATAACTCCCCCGCCCGACCTCCAAATCACAAACCGCGACCACCCCCACGCTCCTGGCGTCGAGGAGCACATTCCCCAGAGGTTTGGACTTTTTTGGCCGAGGTTGGGTCGCCGGCGGTGAGTTCTCCGGCGAGTCTCCGGTGAGTTTTCCGGCGACTTGGGGTGTTTTCTTCCACTTTCTTCACCTCTCTCGCGGTGTCTACTTACGTCTCCAGGTGTGTTCTCCTTGCCTTTCAATTTATTTCGGGAGAATCGATACTTAGAGTTAGGTGAAGAACTGTGAATGTGGCATAATTTGGGAACGATTTGGTAGGCCGATGGCTTTCTTTGCATGCTATATTTTCTCTCGGGATTTCAATTCATCGGCCTACCATTTGCATGTTGGCATTATATACGGGCTTGTTGTAGTTTTGTGTGTGGTTGATCGATTGGTGCTTATTTGGTTTGGAGGCTTGTTGTAGTTTTGTGTGTGGTTGATCGATTGGTGCTTATTTGGTTTGGATTTGGTGTTTGTTTCCCGGGGGCCTAGTCCATTGTCCAAATCGCTTGATTTGAGGGCCCCCGGTGAGTTTGGTTGTGTGATTCTCGTGTGATGGGTATGCTTTTTCTCCGGGAGTCTAGTCTACTGTCCATATCTTTCGATATGAGGGCTCTCGGTGTGGTTTTGACTAACATTGACCCTGTTCGCTCGTGTACCATTTTGTCCATTCTTGTGCGTTGCAGGATCATGGAAGCCTACCTCGACCATTTGAGCATCACCCAGCGCCATCTGCTGCGGACTATCCGTACCCGCACCATCTACGAGCACCTGCACCTCGACTTTGCGGTGTTCGATGCTCTTCATGCCAGGCCGCAGATGGAGACCGCCGTGCGGGCCTATGGTTGGCGGTGCCTTCTCTGCCTCGCCGAGCCGACCTACCAGGAGCTCGTCTGGGAGTTCTATGCTTCCTTCCGCCACAACCAGAAGGGGAATGCCGAGCACGCTAATGCAGTTCAGTTCACACACGGCGGGGTGGAGCACTCCCTCAGCTACTTGGAGTTCGCCAATGCACTTAGGCTCAACTCCCCGCACGCCAGCGACGGGCGCCTGCACTTGGACATCATCGATCCGACCGACTTTCCGTGCCAGGCTTATTTCCAGCGGATCTGCCAGCCTAACCACGTGGACGAGCAATACATCGCGAGCCAGACACGAGCCTCTCTCCTCCGGCCGGAGTGGCGCATCCTCAACCACCTGCTCGCCTGCTCCTACACTCCCAGTAAGGGCTCGGCCAACCGGGTCACCCTCCGGACCCTGTTCTTCATGGAGGCGATGGGTCGCTCTGAGGACACCATCCAGCTGGGCTCGGTGCTCGCCCGGACATTCGGAAAGGCCGCCGCTAGCCAGGACCGCGACCTTGTCTGTGGCCCGGTGATCACCGCCTTGGCCCGCTATTATGAGGTCGACATCACCGGGATGACCCAGGTCCAAGGACCTACCCCGCTCGGCGAGGCCACCCTCCACGCCCAGCATTTGATGGCTCGCCTCGGACGGCTGCACTGGATTGTGGGTTTTCCCCGCCCACCTGCACCTCCAGAGGGGGACCAGCCGGAGTCCAGCGCAGCTGGGGGACGCCGGGTTCCCCGCCGTACTATTCCTCGTACCCAGGCTCCCGCGAGCTCCTCCGCTGCACCCAGATCTCCTTCTCCGGGGTCTCCTCCTCTCGTGGTGGTCTCCTCCAACTGATCAGAGATGGGCACCACCACGGGAGGAGGAGACCCCGGAGCAGGAGATCTGGGTGCAGCGGAGGAGCTCGCGGGAGCTTGGGTAAGAGGAACAGTACGACGGGGAACCCGGCGTCCCCCAGCTGCGCTGGACTCCGGCTGGTCTCCCTCTAGAGGTGCAGGTGGGCGGGGAAAACCCACAATCCAGTGCAGCCGCCCGAGGCGAGCCACCAAATGCTGGGCGCGGAGGTGGCCTCACCGAGCGAGGTAGGTCCTCGGACTTGGGTCATTCCAGTGATGTCGACCTCATAGTAGCGGGCCAAGGCGGTGATCACCGGGCCACATACAAGGTCGCGGTCCTGGCTAGCGGTGGCCTTTCCGAATGTCTGGGCGAGCACCGAGCCCAACTGGATGGTGTCCTCAGAGCGACCCATCGCCTCCATGAAGAACAGGGTCCGGAGGGTGACCCAGTTGGCCGAGCCCTTACTGGGAGTGTAGGAGCAGGCGAGCAGGTGGTTGAGGATGCGCCACTCCGGCCGGAGGAGAGAGGCTCGTGTCTGGCTCGCGATGTATTGCTCGTCCACGTGGTTAGGCTGGCAGATCCGCCGGAAATAAGCCTGGCACGGAAAGTCGGTCGGATCGGTGATGTCCAAGTGCAGGCGCCCGTCGCTGGCGTGCGGGGAGTTGAACCTAAGTGCATTGGCGAACTCCCAGTAGCTGAGGGAGTGCTCCACCCCGCCGAGTGTGAACTGAGCTGCATTAGCGTGGTCGGCATTCCCCTTCTGGTTGTGACGGAAGGAAGCATAGAACTCCCAGACGAGCTCCTGGTAGGTCGGCTCGGCGAGGTAGAGAAGGCGCCGCCAACCATAGGCCCGCACGACGGCCTCCATCTGCGGCCTGGCATGAAGAGCATCGAACACCGCAAAGTCGAGGTGCAGGTGCTCGGAGATGGTGCGGGTACGGATAGTCCGCAGCAGATAGCGCTGGGTGATGCTCAAATGGTCGAGGTAGGCTTCCATGATCCTGCAACGCACAAGAATGGACAAAATGGTACACGAGCGAACATAGTCAATGTTAGTCAAAACCACACCGGGAGCCCTCATATCGACAGATATGGACAGTAAACTAGACTCCCGGAGAAAAAGCATACCCATCACACGAGAATCACACAACCAAACTCACCGGGGTCCTCAAATCGAGCGATTTGGACAATGGACTAGGCCCCCGGGAAACAAACACCAAATTCAAACCAAATAAGCACCAATCGATCAACCACACACAAAACTACAACAAGCCCGTATATAATGCCAACATGCAAATGGTAGGCCGAGGAATTGAAATCCCGAGAGAAAATATAGCATGCAAAGAAAGCCATCGGCCTACCAAATCGTTCCCAAATTATGCCACATTAACAGTTCTTCACCTAACTCTAGGTATCGATTCTCCAGAAATAAAATGAAAGGCAAGGAGAACACACCTGGAGACGCAAGTAGACACCGCGAGAGAGGTGAAGAAAGTGGAAGAAAACACCCCATGTCGCCGGAAAACTCACTGGAGACTCGCCGGAGAACTCGCCGCCGGCGACCCAACCTCGGCCAAACAAGCCCAAACCTCTGGGGAATGTGCTCCTCGATGCCAGGAGCGTGGGGATGGTCGCGGTTTGTGATTTGGAGGTCGGGAGGGGGAGTTATGGCCGGAAAATCGAAGGAGAAGAGGAAAGGGGCGATTCTCCGGCGAGGGGGGCGGCTAGGGTTTTCCAAAAAATGAAATGGATGGAGAGAGGGGGCTGAAATTCGGTTTTTATAGGGGGGAGTAAAAACACGGGCGGCCAGAACACAGCCGTGTTCTGCCCGTGGCGCGCCCGTGCTTTTACAGCCGAGGTCGTGCTCCCCCATATTAAAACACGGGCGGGCTAGGACCAAAACACGGCCGTGTTTTGGAAGCCCAGCGCCCGTGTTTTTACTGCCGCGAGCCATGCAGATCGAAACTCAAAACACGGGCGGGCAAGGGGGAAAACACGGCCGTGTTTTGACCCCCTGCTGCCCGTGTTTTCACTGCCGAGCCCAATTTGCTGCAGCAAGCAATACAGTATGATAGCTTTTCCTCATCAAGCTAAGCATTTATGGTCTTTATTATAAAATAGATAATCGAAGGATGAAGCTACAGTCTTACCTTAGCGTTCAAGCGAACTTGCTCCACGTAAAATTACTCCCATAATATCCTTCAGTCCCCAACGAGTTGGCTCCCTCCAGAAGACACTTTTGACAGGGCCTGAAAAGTAAGGATAATGATCATAGAATCAGAATTCATTGAATAACTATTATTACATTTTAAATTAAAGAAAACTCAATGTACAAAACTTAGAACCTGAAGGAGGATATAGCTCTGCAATTTCGCGCAGAAGTGCACACTTCAGTTCTGTAGTCTGTCCGACAATGGTGGCAATATTACGTCCGACATCTTCCAAATCAGCTTCAAGTACATCCCATTCATTGTCAAAAATTGGAGAGCGAGGCCGCTTCCCTTCTATTAAAATCACACCGATTTCTTTCTTCCTCTGCTGAATGATTTCAGCCAGCAAGTGGAGAGTTGCCTCTGCAGTGACATGTTCTATATAATCCTTGTAGAAGGCCGATTTCACAACATGATCCATGCTAGAAACAGAAAACCAGTAAACAATATTAAGTAAGTAAATCACCTAAAGAACTAACCGAGGAAGTAGGGCACAGCAAATGAACAGAAAGTCACATGCTGGAAGTAACTATACCAGCCACAACAGAAAGAGATGAAACATAACACCAGAAACCAGAAAATAGAGAGAAGCTGAAATAAAAAGCACATGTCCGTTCATCTTTATCGTCTACAACTTTTTCGAAGTTAACCTTAAAAGAGTAGGCAAAGATTTTGCAACCAAAACAAAATGCTCAAGCAATTGACAACAGATGTCAATATATGCTGTTAACATGTGTTACATGATGAGAGCATCCGCATCCATGGTATATGGTCAATTGAAAATCCTAAATAGCATTCAATATGCAATTACAAAGGGGATTGCGCCAATATAATAAGTAGCAAGTTAGTTAGGCACACCCAAAACTGCATACAAGTTTCTCGTATGAAAACTTTCTTTCTAACGTTACTGTTTCCATTTAGTTAATTCCTTAAACTTAACATACAAGCAAAAGAAGTAAAATTTAAAATGCAGAAGCAGTTACCAATTACTGAGGGAGTGGAGGGAGGGTGGTATGGCTTCACTGCTGCTCGGAACCCAATAGCTACCTTGCAGCCCCTTGTACCTTGGAATTGGAGTAGTCCAGCAAGAAACCCTTGGCTGGAACACCCGAAGGTGATGGACATCAGGCTGCCGTTCTAATTTAGCGCATAACACTAGCTCTTCCCTTCCCAAATCGCAGCACAATAAAGCATTCTTATATTTACCAGTGACCGGACTGAAGAAGACAATTTCCGGGTTATGTGGATGGAGAAAAGGTTCATAACAGCCCCCAACTTCATAGTTACAATAATTTGATACCTTGCTCACCAACCCCTCGCGTTGTTTCGTCCAAGATTTACCGTCCTGTTCCAGTCTCCAAACGCTCAAACGAACCAGTTCGGTTTCATTTTCAACTGCAATGACGTGCAACTTACCTTGTGAGCCGGAAATATACCACTTTGGTTTCAGATGGAATGCAGAAACGTCAACATAAGTAGGAGGCATATCAAGGCGGAAAGGATTAAACCCAACAACAAAATTATCAGTAGGCGGGTTAGTAAATTCATGATACTTCCAAAACAACTCCCCATTGCACGAAATTACGCTTCTTCGTCCACTTCTAATACGGTCGTGACAGACAAGAGCATCCTTGGTCCATTTTTCAGACTCGGAACAAAACACGTCTAGCTTTATATCTTGGCGAGGTAGATCGGCATCGGCTTGATATAAACACACCACCCGAAAGCGATACTCGTAATAAGGAAATGCTTGTTCACCACAGACTTCCTAGGCGCCACCGGAAGAGCGGACCACTGCTTCGTAAACGGATTGCAGACCAGGAACGCTATGCTACGTTCCCGATCCTGGTAATCTAAATCCCAAAAGCCGCATAAAACCATGTCTTTGTTGCAATCCCAAACTCTAAAAGAGTCACGAACTGAACTGGGCATGGGAGGGAGAAAGCTGAGGATGATCGATCGCAGCTCATATGGGTTGTCCGGCATCGGCGGGTGGTTCAGAATCATGGTCTGGTGGTGAGAAACGAACCGGCTGTTGAAGTGAGGACTGGAGATCAGGGAGCTCCACGGCTTGCACACGAGTTTACACCGACATGCGAATCTCGGGTTGGGGAGACGAATCAATCTCTACAAGAAGATCGCCTCCGAGTCTGTTAATTATCATGGGAGGAAGGTTTGCCTCTGAACTGATTCGTTGTCGCTTTGTGGCACAGGAACGGAGTCCGATTGACCGTAGGCCACAATCATTGTCCATCCTCATGGCGTAGAGAGACGGATTGAAGGAATATAAGGCCGGCGACGTAGGAGTAAGGATTCGGTGGTAGCGAGCTTGGGATTACGACGGAGAAACCGAGAGATGGAGCAATCTGGACGCGTATTTTTCCTTTTGTGTCTGTATGAAACGAAATCCCAAATGCTTACTCATATATTTATACTGCGGCTGCTGCTATGTTAAGGGGTGCTCGGGTAGTAGGGTTTCCTTTAGGATAAGTGAAAACTAATGGAGAGCGGATACCTTCGTCAATATGATGCTCAATAGGAAAGAAGGGATTCACCAATCTCCATCATCTAAAAAGAGAATGGAACCTCCACAAACACTATTCACCACTATTTTATTTCCCCCACCTGGGTTTTACATCGAGATTTATCAACCAAAAATCTTCACTGCTTCCAGTAATGGAGCCTTCACAAACATGGCCGACATGGCCGACAACCAGATCAATCAATATCGGGGTAGGAGCAGAAGAGATAGAGGTAGAGAAGGATTCAGAGCTACGCATGCAAGGCAGAGGGGTGCAGAACAAGCAAGCAAATGGATTGGGGGGAAGAGATGGCAATCATGGCCATGGAAATCTCCGCCTAGAAAGAAGAAGAGAAGAAAGAAAGGAGAGTTGACTAAAGCAGATCGGAGCTCTAATGCAAACTCTGGTGGCGACATAGAAAAGAGGGAATATCAAATTGCAGGAGGAGACAATCTGAGCATTAATGTGGCGCATAGATCGAGTGAATATTTACGGCTTGGAGCAGAGGAGAGGGGGAACGGGAGACGGGGGAGCAAGAAACACAGAGCAGCAGCCATAAGTGAGAGGGGGAGAAACCAGGTGAATCATTATAAACTCAGAAGGGGGAAAGATAGTGGAGACCCTGCGCAGGCTGCATTCAATGAAAGGAAATCTGAGAAGGCAAAACTCGGCACTGTGGATGGATGTGCTAGACGGCGACTACATCCCAGTGGTAAGAGAGTGAAGCTAGGGAGACAGAAGGGTTTAAAGGTCTCCATCAAGATGGCAAGAGAGATGGGTACTGAGCATTTAATCACCCCAGTCGGAGAGAAGGGCTCGATAGGGGAGTATTTAAGGGGAGTGGGAGTCCCAATTGTGGTCATCTCTATCCCCAGATACAAAGCTAGAAACAAACTCATAAAAAAGGAGAGAGTGCGAGAAAGGAGAAAAGAAAAACCCAGATTTCCACTAGAAGTTTCAGAGGACGTAGCAATGGAGAGGAACCAGGAAGGAGTGAGAGGGGTGCATAATCATCTCATCATCAACCTTCAGCCTCAGGTCGTTGGGGCTAGGGGATCAGGAATGGCAATGCTGCTCGGAAAATGGATCACAGACTCAAAAGTTGGACTCTTCAAAGCCAGGAACTCGGTGGCAAGCAAATGGCGACTATTTGGAGAGGTGGAGACATCAAAGGAAGATGAGAACTTGTTTGTACACACGTTCGAGAATGCGGCGAAGAGAGATGCAGTTTGGAAAGGACGACCATGGAATATAGGCAATGCACTGGTAGCTGTCAAGAAGTGGGATGGCGAAGGAAGCGTGAAAGAGGTGGATTTCTCAACAGTCACCATGTGGGTTCAACTGCATGACCTCCCCCAATCTCTGAAGTTTGAAGAAACCATCAGGGCGGTGGCGGAATACATCTTCCCAGTGTTCCATGGGATAGACAGATCCAACATCCAACACCGGGGTTGGAGGAAATTTATCAGAATCCAGGTGGAAGTCAACATTGAAGACCCGATTCCCATCGGATTTGAATACCCATGCGGGGAGAGATCAGCTTGGATCGGCTTCAAGTACGAGAGAGTTATGGATTTGTGCTATTTCTGTGGGCGATTGGGCCATGTGATGCAGAACTGCCTGTTCAGAGAAGAGAGTAGAAGGAAGGGACTAAGCATTGAGGCATCAGAGGTATACACGGCGGCACTGAAAGCAGGGCACGACTCTACGGCGAATACCCCGCCGGCTTCGTTCCGCCGCCGCCATGCGGCCCAGGTGGAAGAAGGCCTGAGGAGGGAGAGGGAGCTCATTTTACGAGGAAGAAGGGAAAAGTCAGCTCAACTGACGCTGTCCCCCGCTGACATCAGGATGGAAATCAACTGCCCACCTGGCTTCGGGTACCTGCAAAGGGGGGCGTCGTCAAGCAATTTCAGGGAACAGGATGGGAGACAAATGTACGGTGAGACAGGGAAGGAGTCAGTAAGTACACCCCAAAGACTGGAGTTTGACCTCGAGGCAACAACAGAAGCAATCCAGTCTTCACTGGTTCTCAACGAAGGTGGACCTAGCTGGAGGGAAAGAGAAGAGGGCCACAGACCAACCGAGGACAGGCAGGGGCTGATGGAGATGGGCCAACAGCTAAGCTTAGCTGGGCCCAGGATCGAAAGTGGAAGGGAGGCCCAGGAAGAGGGGGAAAAGAAGGAGCCCAGCCCACCAACCTCACCAACAAGGGGAGCTATTGGGACTATCATCCAAGAAGCCCAATATGCAGTCCAACTAATTAGGGGGGAGCCCCCCTCAGTGAACCAGGCCAACCCACTGAAAAAAAAAGAAAGGCCGATCAAGGCCAGAGCGGGGAAGAAATCTCACCAGCGCTATCAAACCTTTCTAACTTTAGTGTTGATTGTGTTGAGTTTAACCCAGGTCAAGAAGAGCAGGGGAAGGGCAGAAGGAGACAAGTGTATAGGAGGAGTATCGCAGCAATAACAGCAGCAGAGAAGCATTCCGAGGAGGGCCATGATCCGATCTCGAGGGCAGCGGTGGCAAGCCTGGAGCCGCCTCCAGAAGCATCAGGCTACTAAGCTTGAACTGTCGAGGATTTGGCCAATCCGCTACAAGAAGCTTCTGCAAGAATCTCTGTCGCAGATTTCGGCCATCAATCTTCTTCCTGATGGAAACAAAACAAGAGGAAGGCTTCATGGAGGAGAAGAGGAGAAGATTGAAGTTTTCAAGTTTGGAGTATTTTAGCCCTAGTCAAGGCGGAAGTGGATTAGCCTTATGGTGGAACGAGAATGTATCGATCAGGGTGATTGATATGTCTAGATTCTACTTGGATGTTTGTATTAGCTGGGGTAGCAATGTATGCTACTATACTTTTGTTCACGCTCCCACCACATCGGTGGAGAGAAGAGCTTTCTGGGACAAACTCACCTCCTTGAGGGACAGGGGGGATGAGGAGTGGCTTCTTGTAGGAGATTTTAACGCTGTCTTGTCGGATTTTGAGAAGCAGGGGCGATGCCCCCATTAGAAATGAAAATCGTGCACCTTTCAAGTATTTTGTGGAGCAGAATGGCCTCATTGACCTGGGGTTTAATGGACCAATCTTCACGTGGAAGAATATGCAGAGAGGGGAAGAAGGGATTAGGGAGAGACCTGACCGAGCCCTATGTTCCCCGTCTTGGGGCCTAAAATTTGAGAGAGCAAAGGTCTTCCACGAAGTTTTCGTGGAATCTGACCATTGCCCCATTATAGTGGATTTTGACATGTTGGAAGCGAAGAAAGATGTCCCATTTCGTTTTGATAAGAGATGGAGGTTTGAGAAAGAGTGTATTAAAATTGTCAAAGATTGTTGGGAGAAGGAAGGGGATATGATGAACAGTCTCAATAACTGTAAGGCTCAGCTTGAGAAATGGGCGAAGAAGGACAGGCAGGAAAAAAGTAAAAGAGAAGAGGAGATTAAGCAGAGACTTCTACAGATACAAGAGATGGACGATTTCAGCTCTCACCTCGATGAAGAACGCCATCTTGGAAATGAACTTTGTGTTATGTGGGAAAAGGAGGAGGAGTTTTGGCTCCAGGTTTCCAGAGTGAACTGGCTGCAAGGAGGAGACCAAAACTCGACCTTTTTCCACGCGGCATGCATTCAGAGGAAGAAAACAAATAGGATAAATAGACTGAAAAATAGGATGGGAGACTGGATTGATGACCAGGACACTCTTAAACACATGGCAACAGACTTCTATCATAGCTTATTCAAGGCTAGAGACCTCAATGAGATACGGTTTGACATGGAAGGATTCCCCAAGCTGGTCACAGAAGAAATGAATTCAGATTTGGGAAAGGAGTTGAATAATGATGAGATAAAAGAAGCGGTTTTCTCGTTGGGGGCCGCTAAGGCTCCTAGGCCGGATGGGTTCCCAGGCCACTTCTATCGTAGATTCTGGAAAATTTGTGAGGCCAAGTTTTGTGAGGAAATCCGAGCTTTCTTCAGGACATCCAAAATTCCAGATGGATGGAACGATACGTTCATCACTATCATCCCAAAGATTGATGCTCCAGAAGAGTTGGGGCAATTTAGACCCATTAGTTGCTGTAAATTCAGGTATAAAGTTATAACGAAGATCTTGGCTATCAGAATTCAGAGGTGGCTGCCTGTGCTGATCAATGAAGTACAGTCGGCTTTCACGGGGGGAAGGCAGATTCAGGACAATATCGTTATTGTCCATGAAGTGTTGAACCACTTTAAGAAACACAAGACTGGTCGTAAAAGAGACATGATGATCTTTACCTCGACTTGTGTGGAGGGTTGATAATCGGTCAGAACATATTGTATTTTAGTGCTTATTATATGTTTGAGCATATTGCGGCTAGTTTTAGAGCTCGCTAATCCTGGAATGGTTTAAAAAACCATTACCGCATAGTGCCATGAGTTTGATGTATTACAGGTGAAGAAAACACGAAAAGATGGTAGCTTGCTGGTTGCGGAAGCAAAGGTAAAAAGGGGAAATTGCACAGGCAAACAATCATTAGCATGTTTGAGCTTAAATCACTAGTGGAATAATTATTGGGTTGCTGGCCCAACTAAATTACCAGCGGAACCGGGCCGGGCCTTTATGCTTCTAGCGTAGAAGGAAGTAGGGATGGCAATGGGGCGGGTTTGCCTAAACCATCTCCATCCCCACTTTCAAATATTCAAACCCATACCCATGTTGGGAGTGTTTTCCAAACTCATGCTCATACTCGTGGGTTTCGGGTACCCATAGATAATACCCGCCCCGTATATCCAACACCTAATATTTAATATATAAAATTTTAATTATAACACTAAACACCTACTATATCATGAAGTCGACAAAGAGACAATCATTCTTAACACGGTTCAAAGCATCTTATCCTAAAGCATCCGTTAATCCATAA